CTTGAAATCGCATATTTAATTAGTTTCCCTTGACAATGGCGCCAAGATGTCGCCGAAACGTCGGATTTATCTATCGTTAGTTTTTGCCTGTATATGAAAACAAAATAACGCAGGCTTTAGGTATTTCACGACTTTTGACATTAACTTTCTCGAGAATGCTTGAGAGGTTAATCGCGGCGTCACTTGCAAAAATGAATTAAAGTGAAATGTTTCAAAATAATGTAATTCCATATGTTGCCGTGCTATGAGAACATTTTTAGCAAATAATTTTTGCACTTATTGCTTGAATTTTGAGCGGAATCTGTCTTAAGGACGTTCGCGCGGAAATTTTCCAGTCGATAGTTTTTTTTTAAATTTTTACTGCAGTCAGATTATGAGTTACTTGTGTCAGAAATGCAAAAAAATTGGGGGTCACCAACTTCGTTTCAGAGATAAAGCGTGTTGAAAACTACCCTGATTGGCGCACGTAATTCAGCATGGTCTACAGGGGTTTATGGTTAAAAATATCGAAGGTGAATCCGCGGAGGTAAACGATCTTAGTCATATTTTGTCAGAATTGGGCCTGTTGCGTAAATAATTCCAAATGTTGCTAAGGTTTTCACAAAAATTAACCCTTCAAGAGGCATTTGAAACGGCTGCACAGATAAACGAAGAGCTAAAAGGAACAGAATTCGATGGTGCATTTTGCAAAAAATTCAAACTTCTAATCGATAGATTTTCTTCATATTTTCGCTAAACGTAGAAAATCGGTAGAGAAAACAATCCATCAAAAGAAAAATAAGGGTCACCGAACGTCCAAGATCGCTAAATCCAGGCAAAGCTAAAGCAATGGCCATCTGCCCTATCATTGTTCATTTTACTTCTTAGCGCGCGCGCGATGCATGACGTGGGGTAGCGAAGATTTTAATCTTTTAACCGTAAGGGATTTTCGGACGCTTTCATTGCACCGTGGAGTTGCTTCGAGATTCGAACATAACTGTGATGAGGCTTGTAATAAGTCTCATATGCAGTCAGGAGCTTAGTCACTTGTCAAGTCGATAGCTCTCACTCATCTAACACGTCTGTTTTTGGTGCGTGAAGTCTGTCGTAAATTAGCCCGGCTATTTTTCTGTTGTATGCGCAAGTGCAGTCAGGTTCAGGTACATTAGTACTAAGGGTAAAATATTGATTTTGTCTACAGGCTGTATTCTCAAGAATGCGGTTCATTTGACCAGTTGGAGTATTATGCCAACAACTTCGACGATTTTGGGGTAAGCTGGAGTTGTTGTTGTCATCACTGATTTTTATATAAATTTGGCTTTGTTATCAACTGAACTAGTTCACTGTTAAGAGTGCTTACATTGAAATCGCACACCACACATCGGGCAGGAGTGAAAGTTCGTAACTACACTGAAATTTGAAAGTCGTACTTGTACTTGTACTTGTCTCGTATCGTGTTGCTGTCTATAGGCCCCAGTCGTTTTAATAGTCACAACCAAGGGCTTTGTCTAGAGACTTTATCCAGATACAGTGATAGAAAAGGCGAAGACAGGTGGCAGGCCTATCAATCGTAATGTATATTTTCAAAAGTGTTGGTAAATACCATTTTTATTGCTGGCTAGTGTGGATCTGGCGTTTGACGTGTTGACCTTGGAATAAGCTTACAAAAATGCTGGGCGGGGGGGAGGGGGTGGTGTATAGGTACAGGAGAGTTCCCGGAATAACGTCACAAAAATGCTGGCGGCGGGGATAGTGAAGGGGTTTTTTTGTGGGACTAACATTCCAATTATTTCAGTATTTCTTAATTTTAATACCAGTTACGGAAACTCATGTTTTGTGCAGACCCTAGTTCTGATCCCTCGGATGGATACTGACACAATTAAGGCTTAAGTTCAAGTTGTTTGTGGCACAGTTTTATGATAACGACGTTTCGTGTTATTTTCAGGCAGCATTGGTGGTCTTGTGGGACCTGATGGTAGTTAATAACTGGCATGTATTCTTGAAAGAATATGCGAAGGTCGTCAATGGGTGAGCGTATGACTTCTCTGTTGTTAAAATGTGTTAATCACAGATGAAACCAAATCAGTCATATTAGGGAGATAAAACAGTTCCCTCGCTGCTTGCTCGCTGCTTGTCTTGGAATGCCGTACGTTTAAGAATATACTCCTACTAGGCTAGTAGTTTTAACTTCGCCCCACATTTCATTTGCGAAGGAAAACATTCACGACTCTGTTAAGACCATACGTTATACTTAATTGTCTTGTTTCTCGTTGTTTCAGATGGGCACAGCTGTATTTTGTGGCGTGGTATTTGATCTCCGTCATTCTCATCATTAATCTGTTTGTTGCCTTAATTCTCGAGGTCAGTTCACTTCCTTTTTCAGTTATTACACACCCAAATTCGCAGTTAGCCAATCAGAAAACCGTGTCTCCTGTCCTGATATCCTGTGATATCAAAGGTGTTTTCCATTATGCCAAAGATTCCGCAAATTTCGGTCGGAAGTCAACTGGAAAGGTTCGTTTCGGTTCTTTCCGACCGGAATATTCGGGATCACCTTTGGAGGTGATGTCGAATATTCCGGTTGGAATATTCCGACCGAAATTTGCCGTTCCATGTTGACAAACTGGCTCATTGCCTTCTTATGCAGGGAATTCGGAAAAGGAACAAAAGAAAAAAAAAAGTGGTAAGAGCCATTCCTCTTGGTTGGCCCGGTTTGATCGGGAAATGTCGTTCCATTTTCCTCGGGTATTCCCACTGGTCTCTGGCCGGTGGCTCTGGCATGATGGAAAGCATCCCAGGTCACTGACCTGATATTTGGGTACGGTAAATACCTAATTGCACCCTTTTTGGTTCGCTTCGGTGGCATGTCAGGCACGATTGGTCTTGCCATGGGTATTTTTGGCGAAAATTTCGCCAAAATTCGAACCATGGCGAGACCAAACTCGCCTGATTTGTCGCCGAAGCGAACCAAAAAAGGTATGATTAGGTAAATCAATTGTGCCTTTTCAATACGGGCACCAAAGGGGTATAGCTGTGGCCATGTGAACGGTGTCCGTAAGGAGGGGTTCGCCCCCCCTCCCCCCCTGAGGGGGCTTCGACTATTCGCCATTTCCACATCCCCCTTAATACACCTTGTTGGCCCCCCATAATTTTGCATAAGCATTGTCTTCAGTTTCTCTTGGGACGACTGTAATACCCAGGAGGAATGGGAAGCAAAGGTTATGCAGAATTTTGGGGGTCGGGGGGCCAAACAAGGTGTATTATGAGGAATGTGGAAATGGCGAAAAGATCTGTCGGAACCAATTCATGTTGAATCTTCTACTTGGCTTTTGCAGGAAATTGTATTTGAATGACTAGATTTTTTAACGTAGAGATAAACATTGCTCGTCCTATTAAAGACTTCTGTTGTTTTCAAATTTGCAATGCTGTTAGTTTCTAAGAGACCTGTTGTTATGTATGGGCGGACTAATAGATCACATCGTGTATATCTAATTGGTAACTTCCTTTCCAGGAAGAAAAACGCCATTTAGATACAAGTTTGATTTTATTTTTTAAAGGCGTTTATTAGTGAGTGGGAGATAAAGCAGCAAAGATCAAGACAAAACTCGTTATCTTCGCACGTGGTGAGTTTTGTATAATGGAGTCATAAATTATACCTGTGTTTGGAAATCAGTTAGTAATTTGATTTATCGGTGGGTTGTTAAGCCAGTAATTGGCATTCAGTTAGTTTGCCCGCCGATTTTTATGTTAGGTATAGCAATAATGTCACGAACACCGGTTGAAAGGTGTACGTGAAAGACAAGTGGAAGACGGCCGTGTCTTGCGAGTTAGTCTTCCCTTCAAGGACCAAACATCAGATAATGCGGTTAGACGGCATATGCGCGATCTCAACCACAAGATTGGCACTACCCTACAACCAGTATTTATTAGCAAGAAACTGGAACAAGTTCTCAAGCCGAAAGAAATCAAGCCTCCGATCGTAAATCAACAATGCGTGGTTTATTTATTTTCATGTAATCTGTGCGATGCAGATTATGTCGGCTACACAGCCCGACACCTCCACCAACGCATTGCTGAACATAAAAACTCGGCGATTGGAAAACACCTTTTTGAAGCCCACGGGGACATAAGCCTCCTCAACGAAAGCCAGTTTCGAATTCTCCGAAAGTGCCAAGGGAAATTTGATTGCCTCGTCTATGAGATGCTTTGC